TATACATACACAAGTACACTGATTCATTTACTGCAAATATAACTTTGTAATTCTATATATTCATATAGGATTACAAAGTTACTTATGCAGTTGGTTTATCTAGAAAACTGGACCGAAATTAAAAAATATTTTAGTTTTTCCTTGATTTATACACTAAACACTAATTGCATTCTAAATTTGAAGCCTCTATGTATGCTAGAAGTGTCTTAGAGTTTTGATGATCGGTCAGTCAGTGAGTGACAAAATTAAGAAACTTTGACTAGTTATAATTCTTAAACTACTGGTTCAAATTGGATGAAATTTGATATATATCATGTTTATATAATTCCTACTTGGTTACTGAAAAATCAGGCTTCTAGTTTAATCCACTACGAAGTTATAGGATGTTGAAAATGGCCTGAATTGCTTCGAGAAAAGTATAGTACGGCCGTGCCGCTTTTTTGCTCGACTTGGCGCCCCAGATAGAGTGAATTCATACCCTCATTACTCAGAAGTTTTAATAACAGATAGTATGATATTTCCTCCAAGTTTTAATGATATTAAATTATTCGAAGAAATGAATCCTAATGTGAGCGTTAATATTTATGGTTTAGATTTAAAAAAATGTGACCGGCCCGCTGTATAAACTTTTAAAAGAAAGATAATGCATGTTAACTTACTTTACTTAAATAAAAATAATAAACATTTTTGTTTGATAAAAAGGTTTGATAAACTCGTACACAAGCAATTAACTAAGCATAAATCTAAAATACGTTTATGTGAAGAATATTTTTTTTATATTTTAACACTGCAGAAAAACTTTTAAATCATGATTATGCGAGGATCCAAACCATTTTACCAGAAGAAAATACTAAACTTTATTTTTCAAACTATGAAAAGACTCAAAGAATTCCTATTGTAATATACGGCGACTTTGAGAGTTTATTACATGAGTATTCAGACAAAAATAAAAGAGCGTATGTGGAAAATATTCAAATCCATGAGGCCAGTTGTTTTGCATATTATATATTTTGTGATTCTAAGCCCGAACTCAATAAATTATTTTCCTATCGAGGGTCAAAGTGTGCTAAAAAAAATATTGAATCAATTAGTAAAGATGTTAAACGGTTACATAAATTACTTTCAAATAATAGATACACCTCTGTTAATCGGTGAAACGGGGCGAGACTGTTTGAATAATGTAAAAGAATGTCATTTGTGTAAAAAAATATTTAATAATACAGATATCATAGTTGCAGATCATGATCACTTTACTGGAAAATACAGAGGACCTGCTCATAACGAATGTAATTTAAAAGCTAAGACATGCTCATTCATACCTATAATATTTCACAAACTTTCTGGTTATGATTTCATTTATTTATAAAGGAACTTTGTGCCATTTGTGGTCGTATAAATCTAATACCCAGAAATAAAGAAAACTTTATTTCATTTACTAAGTTTATTCCAATAGAAAATAATAATAATAATTAGAACTCAGCTCAGTTAAAACTTATTGACTCTTTCAAATTTTTGTGCTCGAGCTTAGATAATTTAGTGAAAACGATGGAAGCGAGTTTTTTGAAGATAAACATTTATTTAATTTAGTTATAAAGAACTGTTACGACTATATAGATTCATGGGATCACCTTACACCTTTCATTTTTCAATCACCTTACATCTCAAGCTGTTTCAGATGAAGATTACAGTCATGCATTGAAGGTATGGAATGATTTTAAAATCCGTAACTTAAGTAAATACACCGATTGATATTTAAAATGTGACGTATTACTGTTGTTGTGAATTGTGATGTTTTTGAAAAATTCCGAGTTTAAAACATTATAGTCTTGACCCATGTTACTATGTCTCATCTCCATCATTAAGTTGGGATGCTATGTTGTTTCATACGAACATACAATTAGATTTACTTTCAGATATTGAAATGTACCAATTTTTAGAGAAAGGAATTCGCGGTGGTCTTGCTCAATTTTCTCTAAGATATGCAAAAGCAAGCAATAAATACATGTCCCATTATGACAGCAAGGATAAAAACAATTTTTTAGTTTATCTTCATTGTGTAAATTTATATGGCTTTGCTATGATGCAAAAGTTACCAACGGGGAACTTTAAATTTCGTGAAGAAGTGAAAAAGAAATTAATCAATTTGATGTAATGAGTGTTCCTGATGATAGGGATATTGGGTATATTCTTGAAGTAGACTTGTACAATCCAATTGAAATACATGATGATCATTCAGATTTACCATTTGTTTACCAGTTTGCTCCGCAACGAAGCAAACATAAAAAATTAATAGCTAGTTTGTACGATAAACGTAAATATGTTATTCATTATCAGCATTTAATAATGTTTACGTCGTGGACTCATTTTGCTCAAAGTTTATAGGATTTTGTTATTTAGTCAAAGTGCATTTTTAGCACCATATATTTTATTAAATACAACACTTAGACAAAACGTTGCTTCAGACTTTGAAAGAGATTTTTTTTAAAACAAAATAATTCTATTTTTGGAACGACAATAGAGAATAAACGAAAACAAGTCGATGTAAAATTGGTTAATGTATGGAACGATACATCCAATAAGACTAATAAACTATGTGGAGCTGAAAAATATGTAAGTGCAACTAATTTTAAAAATTTGTCAATAATTTCAGATTCGTTAGTAGCAATCCAGTTACAACTAACAAAAGTTATCCTTGATCGCCCAATTTAAATTAGGTTTTCAATTCTGGATTTAGCTAAGAGTCATTTATATAATTTTAATTACTCTATAATGAAACGCATGTATAAAAATTTGCTGCAACTCTGTTATACTGTTACAGATAGTCTGCTGTATCCAATGACTACACAGCCCGAATAGACGCCACATGCAAGACGAACACTTTCTGTCAACACGTTAGACAAATACGTTTGACTTAAGAAAACGATCGCACGATCTACTTTAGTAGCGACCACATCCCTGTGACCATCTTGCTTGAGACTCGTGAATTTTCGACAAAATAAAATACAACAGACGCGCAACATGGTTCCCTGTACAATAAAATAGTGCGAAAATAGTAGCCAAATGTGTAATAAAAAAAATGGCATCACTTTTCATAGATAAGTGAATTTTAATTTCCAAATACATTAATTAAAATTAAATCAGAGCTCAAGCCATATTTGTCACAAGCAACTCGCGTTGACTTATTCGGACATCTTCGGATATTTTCGGACTATGTATCCCTTTCTTTTCGATGCAGTTCATTGTTGCTATACTTTTCTTTAATTACCGGCACATGTAACTAGTGCTGCACCAGTTAAACTATAATATTGGTACAAGTAAATATTATGCATGTTATCGTGAATGTTTTACAGACCTATACTATAAGCGACATAGGTCTAAGCTGATTTTTTTTAGTGAATGTAGGTTAATCCATATTTGAATTAATTGATTTAATAGTTAAATCAAATTATTCAAAACTTCTTAAAAATATATAATAAAATTGATATAATTTTTAATAGACTGCACTCCGCTCTCTTTACTGCTAAAACGCCATGTCAGGACAAGTACGAAACGGAAATGAACTTGACAGTTTAAATAACTGTTGCTATTTTATTTTTAATAGTATTCTATTATTATTTCAATATTGTAAAGAAAGCCTGTTTTAATTAAAAAAATTCCTTAAAACAAAAATTATAGGTATTTTACTAAATACGATTACCTACTTAAATAAAACTTCTTTTGTTTTTTTTTATTTTGTACTAATTTTAAGTAGAATATAATTCTGGTACTGATTAAGTAGACTCGGTACCAAATTTATTAGTCAAAGTTCCCATCACTATTTTCTTCTTAGCAAGTGTCGCAACCTTGATTTTAACCAATTTGCGTGCATTTCAACCCGCCTCTCCCGTACCGCTTACCTCAGACTTTTGACAAACAGGTTTGGATGCAGAAGTATGTGCATTAGGCTTTCCGTATATACACTCTTATCTATGCATTAGGCGTCTATTCGGGCTGTGTAGTCGTTGGCTGTATCTAATAAATACAAATGATTTTTATGAAGACATGAAAAAATATTCTGATACATGTAATTTGAAAAACGATCAGTATGATATGCCTACAGTAAATTGTAAAATTCCAGGGTTTTTCAAAGACGAAATGGGTGGTGATATAATAACTGAATTTGTTGGATTAAGAGCGAAACTATATTGTATTGATTCCAAAACAACCTCAATAAGGAAAGCTAAGGGTATTAAAAATCTGTTAGTAAAAATTATACTTAATATTGAAAAATATAAACGAGCGTTTGGTCTAAACTAGAAAGATATGTACATTAGATCAAAGAATTATCAAATATTTACTCAAAAAGTTGATAAACTTGTACTTAAGAGAGATGATGACAAAAGACAAATTATGGCAGATGGCTACAATACTTACCGTGGGTACACTATAAAACTATATTTTAATAAATTTGAATGTAAAACTATGTAATACTATTACTATGTACTGTATAAGTGAGAAAGAGATAAATGTAGGGTGCGTCGTTGAACAGTGAACCAACCAGGAACAACGAACCACCACCATGTTGAAAAAACTACGAGGTTGCCAATTCGACCGATCGTGTTTAAACTTTTCTCGTAGGCACTCTTCCCTTCTCCAGTAGTTAGCTACTAGCCAGTGGTCGCGACTTGAGCGTGACGTGTGACAGCGGTTTGTTTATTTCTCGCCAAAAAAAAAAAACATAGAATTCTCACGTAAGTATATCGATTTTTATATATCTTGTTATTAATTCTAGCACCAAAAGCTTTATGGTGTCGATATTATTGTAGTTTTAGACGCTTTATGAGCATATTGCTTTGTGACAATTCAGCTTACAATCTATTTGTTTAAATATTATAAGTTGAATAGTGTGTGTATTGAACAGTGAACCAGGTTCGCATTGTACACTGTGTACCTTACAATCCAGGTTCACTGATCAATGATAGTGTTATGCTGAAAATCAATATTGTTTTTGATTGTCTTAGGATGCCAAGGCCAAGAAATGAGGAAAGAAAAATTGGAAAACACAAAAAAGACGATATGATGTCAGCATTACTAATGATAGAAAATGGTAGCTCCATTAGGACGCGGCAAAAACCAGTAAAATTCCCTACCCTACATTGCGCCGTTATGTTAAAAAAAACGTGAACATGGTGATAATATATCAATCGGACCGTGGTATGATATTAATAAAGTGTTTACTGAAGAACACGAACAAATATTATTAAAATACTACAAAGACTGTGCATTAATGTTCTACGGTTTGACCATCAAAGATTGTACGAAGGTGGCGTACGAAATGGCAAAGGTTAATGGCATTAAAACTGAACGTACTGCAGCATTAAATAGAAAAGGTCAGCATAAAAGAAAATTTCTACAAGACTGTGGAAATAAAATGCTTCCATCAACAAGTAAAATCAGAAAGACACCATATAAGAAAAACAATAAAAAATAGTTATACCAGATGAAGACAGTGAAACCAGTGAAGGTGAAGATGTAATTCTTGAAAGTGAAACCGAACTAGAATCGGATGAGGAAGATGACCAAGGATATGAAATTATTGATGAAGATTTTCCTGATTTACAGCGTAAGCCAATAATTAATGAATACGTGCTAGTCTTGCTGCAATCTAAAAAAACGGGTTGTTTATTACGTTGCGAAGATTCTGGAAATAGAAACTGACGATGAATATTGCGTTTCGTACCTAAAATTAAAAGATCGTCTAAATAAAACCTTTATATTTCGTCTAGAACCCGATATGGCTAATGTGAAACTCAGTGACATTAAAATGATTCTCCCTCCTCCTTGTGTGTCAGGTACAAAACGTCTGATTAAATATTCCTTCAATATAAACTTATCTTTACTAACTATGGCGTAAATATTTACTTTGACGCATTTTGATGTATTTTTTCGTGATTCTTTAATTAGTCGGTAAATTAATGAAGACTGTTAATTATACTATTTGAGGAAGGCCGATTGTTAATTTTATCCAGTGGTTTATATGATAACTTACCGTTATTAAGAAGTTAACTGCTGTGAAGAAAACTGTCCGAAACCTTTATAATTTGAAATTATAATTGATATATTATGTTTATTTTTTGTTTACCCAGTTCTTGCTTCAACTGGTAGGTAATTAAATGAAGGCTGGTTTTATTATTATTATTACCATAGAGAAAGCACTGAAAACCAATTTTTTTTTATTATTAGAAGTAATATTCTTTTATTGTATTTTGTAAAACAAAAATAAAAGACGTGACATGACCTCGTTTATCTTTATCTCGGCGGATAATGTATGATGATGATGATGATGATGATTCTTGAGAACGATTTCTCTTCCTGTAACATTTCTTTGATTTCGATTGCCGCTCTTCATTAATAGCTATTCTATTTGGTGGTAAATCGTGAAGCTGCTCCTTTCGGTTGTAATAATTTAGTATAAATTTATCCACATCCTGTGCACAGTAATACGGATTACTGATAGGATTAGAATCATTTGTCATTGTGTTCCTCAGTGTTGGCCATGATCTGCAATTAACAAAAACAACTATGAAGTCAAAAAAAGGTAATGGCGGCTGAATTTCTAAATAGTAAAAAATGATTAAACTCACCAATATAGATGATATTTGACAAGCGTTGTAATCAACGTGCACTCATGCACATAATAATATATATATAGTATTTAGTTAGCGCAGAGTTCCCCAAACTTTTTTGTGTCGTAGACCCCTTGCCATGTTTTTCCGTGTTGGGTAGACCCCCTACTTACCTGATATTGATTTCCTATATTAACGATATTCTAACTGTAGTGAAGTTTAGTATAAAAAACTTAAAATAAAAACACATGTTAATTTATACATTTATTAATTGAATTTAAATTAAAACTACTCAAAATAAAATTTTGTATTTGTTATATAAAATATACGTAGCATTAAATAAACTATAAATAAAATAACATAAGCAATAAGTCAATATTTTAGTGAGAAGGATGAACCTGATGCTTTAATAATATATTATCAACATTTGGCGTCAATTTTGTAAGAGTTAATCTCAAATCTCCTCGGCTAATGATGTCCAGTCTGTTTCTTTTTTTCGTTAGGAGATTGGAAACAGCGCTGAACCCCCTTTCCACTAGGTATAACGATGGAAAGGAAATTAAAAATTTCCTCGCTATATTCCATAATACGGGATAAATAACGGGTATGTTGTTTTGCAGCCAGAATTGCTGATATCCGTTTTTAAACTGATTCTTAAGTTCTTCGTTTGTACTTAGTTCAGTCAGTTCCTCTTGTATTATGACATTAGTTTCTTCTATGTCACCATATGGATTAAAATTATCCACGGTGGTATTACCATAGTCAATATATCCTCAAACCTAGATTCAAAATCTGAATAGAGGGCATTTAAATGTTGAACGTAAGTTGAAACGTCGTCTTCCTGGCAGCTTGTCTGTGACAAATTGGGAACTGAGAAAATTCGCCCCGTCCAATATTTTGCTTCATTAGTTTAACTCTGGCAAGAAACGCTGATAAGATGGACTTTGTTTTAATCAAATTTAAACTGTCGCCTTGTAATTGCAAATTAACCATATTAAATTTTGTAAATAAATCTCTTAAATAGGCGATGTCTGTTTTCCTCTTCATTAAATTTTGTTTTAAAATTTTATCTTTAGTATCCAGAAATTATAAAATAGTCTCAAAAAGTGCAAAAAATCTTGTGAAACATAAGCCTTTCGACAGATGAAAGTGTTCGTCATTTTTTTCATACAACTGCGCAAATAACCGCGTATTCAACGCGTTGCTTCGGATTCGGTTTACTGCATCAATGACTAAATGAAGTGATTCATGCAATCTAACACTCAAATTTTTAGCAACTAAATGTTGTATTTTGTTAAATAGCTTATAAATCCACGATAACGTCAAACCATGGCAGGTGCTCCATCTGTAGCTACTGATATTATATTTGATAAAGGAGTTGCTTTTTCAATGAAGTAATCCTTCAAAACATGAAATATTGATTCACCTTTAGTGTCGGTTATCAAAGTTCTTGCGAAGAGCAGTTCTTCGTAGATTTCTTGATTCATAATATAATGCTGCATTATCAGGTAAAGTTGACTCGTCCAGTTGTATAGAGAAATGGGTCGTTTGCAAATAATTACATAAGAAGCTTTCAGTATCAGAACTCATTTCATCAATACGTCTTTCAACAGTATTGTTGCTTAAGGAAATTCTTTTAATGATATCAGATGCAGGTTTGTGTAAAACAGTTTTTAAAACCTCTTCAACGGCTGGCAAAATTAACTTCTCTCCGATAATATACGGTTTTCCGGATTTTGCTATAACTAACGAGATATTGTAAGACGCCCGCAAACCATCATCATTTCTTTGTGACGTCGAAACGAACATTCTGTCCAGTGTAGGTCTCTTCTAAAGTTTATCTTTGAGTGTTTGAAAGTATTTCAAATCTTTCTCTGTTTTATCAGGGTGGCATCTTCTCAGATGATCTTGCAGTTTAGATGGTTTCATAGCGTCATTGCCCAAAACTTTGTTGCATAAAAGGCACATAGGCAATTTTTTGTCCGGCAATGATGGAATGAATCCAAATTTCAAATAATCGACACTGTACTGTCTACATTTCTTTTTAGATTCGGACATGGCATCAGTCATCTGTGGGCAAAATTAAATTATTTAAATAAGACAGAAAATCCAGCAGCTGTATATTGAAAATATTTTTTGATTTTTCCGAAAACATTCCATAATTCGAACATCTTCTTGCAACAATTAGCTCGAATTACGGAGATTGCACTGTAATTAATATACCGATTGCTAAAACTTTCAAAAAGAAACTATTGAGGAGTACTCGTGTAATTTTCATGACTGAATATTAAACTACTAATAACTAGTCATGATTGGCGTAATTTATCTATCTTTGCTAACTACGAGTACAAAACTAAAATTTAATAAAAAATAATGTACTTACTTTTCTTCAGCACTCTCAAACGAAATAACACTGACTCACTATAATTTGTGTGATATACTATCTGTTTATATTTTTTAAAATATTTTCTTAGCGCTTTCCTATTCAAGATTCAGGAAACGAATAAACGTATTTGTCCCACATTCGTATTTATAGAGTGACGAATTGAACAAATCAGTGCATGGTAGCGAAGCTCTGAGACTGCGACTCTCAGGTTTTTACAAGTTCAAAATGTATTGCGACCACAAAGCGAATACCAACATCCTACAATTTACACAATTTTATAAAAATATGTAATAAATTTTTTACTTCATAGGTACTTTTATAAATAATGTATATGTTTCGATATTATAAGATAGTATGATGTAAGTAAATAGGTACTATCAGTTTATGTGATGAGATCCACTATCGTGGACCTCCATTTTCATTTCATGGACCCCCAATTTTTTTTTCGCTAACGTAGACCCCCTGCAGGTTGTCAAAGACCCCTAGAGGTCGATATAGACCACTTTGGGAATCACTGAGTTAGCGGATGGTTGCAAAATAATTAATATCTTTATTATAATAGATTTCCGCAAAGTGACGCCTGATTACATTAGCATAAGCCTAGCTTCGCACACCTGACCATAAACAGAAGAAATTATAGATGTTTTGTATTAACACGATAAATTTTGCTAATGAGGTAATGATAATTGCAGTCGGGCAAGCAATAGGAGCTAACACTATATTAGTTATAACTATCCAAAAAAAAAACATTTATTAGCACTAACCACAATGAAGTTAGGCTAAACAAATTGTATTATTAGAAATTAATCATATAGATTCGGCAATACCAGCAGTATCTCACAAACGCTCTGAATATAATGCTCAATAACTCAACTGGAAGTGGAAGTACACTTGTTCCCCCAGGATAGAACTGTGAATATGTAGACTTTAATTTGGTTAAACTAAAAATTTGTACCTCTATCGGAGTGAATTGGGGTCTTCAGCGGCATTTAGCTCGAGCGATGCGAGAGCAAGTGACACAGAAGCCCCAATACACACCTACTAACACGCTTTCTAATAATGGCGTGGAAACCATCAGTGTGCATTTCAGCAAACATTCCTGATGCACGCACGGCAACCCCATCAGCATCCTAAACCCATTATTATACTGGACACGCAACGCGCTGTACACCCGCTGCGTATAGTTAACCCTTAACCCATAGGTTGCTCGTGTAAAAAGACTGGCAGTAGGCTTTGAAAATAGTAATCTTTACCTGCCTACTGCAACGAGCAAACCTGCGGGCCACCATGTTACATCGGATGCACAGCGCCCTGCGTTCCCGCTCGATCTCCATATTATCATGCAGATCCTAAGTGACCCAGATATTTAAAATGTGAGACACGCTTTAGAGGTGAGTTGTTGAGTGTGAAGATAGTCGCACTTGGTCCGGATTTGACTCCTGCCTTGAACACCATGAATTCGCTCTTTTTCACATTGTATCGTAGTTCATGGGACACTGCATATGCTTCACATACTGTTAATAGTTTATGCATGGGACCAATCGAGGGGCTGAGCAGCACCATCTCGTCTGCGTAACTTATGTTATTGATACATACACCATCAATATGACAGCCTACATTTGTTCGGCGCAACTCGTCGATCAGGCCATTAATGTACATATTGAAGAGCCTAGGAGATGTAAGACCACCTTGCCTCACCCCACATTCAAGTCTATACACATCAGAGTATGAGCTCGCCCATTTTACACAGTTGGTTGCACGCTATAGCACGATCGTAGCACCGCAACTAACTCGTGCGGCACATCAGTCTCATTTTGAAGTTTTTTTCATAATATGTCGTATTACACCAAATCGAAGGCCTTGGACAGCTCAACAAAACAGGCAAAAACTGGAGTGCTCCTATCAGTGTAGTATTTGAGAGTTTGCTTGAGACTCAAGATAGCGCTTTCGGTGGACAGACCTGGTTGAAAACCAAATTGCGCAGCATTAAATTTTAAATAACCGCTTAAGTGTTGCTCAAGCAAACTATCCAGCACCTTTGCCACCATAGTAGCCAGTGAGATTGGTCTGTAATTTGTCAAGTCCGATGGATCCCCCCGACTTGTTCTTAATAACAGGCACAACAATGGTTCGCATAAGGTCATCAGGCAGGTAAGAGTGGCTGAGACAGCGGTTATATAACAAAGATAAGACCCTTGGTAGATGGATTCCTGCGCACTGCAGATGCTCTATGCTGAGGTAGTCGTGACCAGGCGATTTACCCCGTACCATGCCCTTAATTACGCGGTCCACATCCCTCGCCGAGAATCTAACTTTAAGTCTGTCAGCACGACGCCCATCATCACACATCGCAGTTGCAGGCCCAAGAGGCGAGTCCACCCTGAAGTGAGCTTGGAAGGCCTTAGCTATCTCACTGTGGTCGTGAAAGCCGGCGACGCTCACCGGAAGGCTCAATGTTGGGTTTAATTTATTTGTAGCCTTCCAAAAGCGCTTAAAGTCCTTACTAGCACGGTGTTTTGCAATTATGTCCATTTTCATTTGTTGCTGATTATTTTGACCATTTCAGCTTAGACTTAAATACCCTCCTAGATTCCACCATATTCACGTATTATACTGGACCAGCACTCGGCTTACCGTAGAGCTGCCACTGTTGTAGACAATCCCGAGCGTGCCGGTGAGCGTCCCTGACATGTTCATTGCATCCGATGACATTTTTGTTGTTTTATTATTTTTACTCATACGATTACTACAATTTTTAGCACCTTCTGTGAAGATACTAATTACAAAGTAAACTAAAGTTACAGCCTATATACGTCCCACAACTGGGCACAAGCCTCCTCTTCATTTCTGAGAGGGTTTTAGGGCAAGGCAGTGTCCCCCCCCCCGCTGCCCCAATGCGTGTTGATACTAATTATATTTTTGTACAATTTATCTAAAGTTTGTCTATGACTACTATCAGAACGTATTTTATCTGCACAACTCGTGAGTTCCAAAGGAAAATTTACTTTTCTAAGTTTACAATGACAGTATTCCCTATATTTATCATTTGGGAGGAGTCCCTGTCACCCCATATTACATCATTAATATTGAAGCTATCATGCATAAAGCCTTATAAAGCTCAGATTAACTATAGTACGAATTTGGGGTAACTTTGAACTCTTTATTATTTATGAAGACAAAAACATATAATTTTGGACTTATTTGGAGTTTGGCTAATATAAATTGGTGTTTATACTGGGAAAATAAAATTATGCTGTATGGCCAGTCATTTGCAGTACATTTTTTTTTCTATATCTCTTGGTGATGCCATATACAAACTAAATATACCAAAAAGGAAGACAAAAAGAAAATGTTTGGTATATGTATTTTTAACTGTATTTATTGACTTAAATTAATAAAATAAAACTTTTTATATAAACTTTTTGGTTTTCATTTGAGACCAAAAAGTATGTATGTTAGAAAGACATTTTATATAAATATTTGACTTACAAAAATCTTACTCTCACCACTCCATGAATCAAATGTCATCTTCTATATATGTTATAGCACTTTTCTTGGTAATTTGATGTTCTTTTACAATGCTTACGACATCCGATACTTTTACTTTTAATATCTCGACTTTTGTAGACCACTTCCAACCTCCTAAAAAAGATTTGTGGAAAGCTAAAACCATGAAAGTTGCAGTCGACAAATTTACTTTTCGCATTTGTCCTAGGAACCTGCTCCCCTCATTATTAAAAATGCAATTAGCATCTTTCACCAAATCTCTAACAGAATCATTTTGTTCGATGTTATCTTCCTTGGAGGTTAGTCCACTCTCATGTGACGTAGAGGCTGTTAAGTCACCATTAGGTTCCACAACATATTCTTCTACAATTAGCAAATCCTTATCTTCCTCTAGTATTTGTTCTTCAGACTCTACAATTTGTAATATCTCCTGGGATTGTTATGACCGTTGGCTCAACCTCCTGATCTTGAAGCACAGATAGATTATCACCTATGTCAAGCATATATAAATCTTTAGCTTCTTCTGGAGAAGGTGGTCTGTGTATCATTCTTTGTAGCCTCAACGACGAACTCTGCGTGTCCTCCAACATTTTGTGACTTAAGTTCATTTCCATCACATTCTTCACCATGATTACCGGTATCAATGACCTCATTGTTTTCACTCTCACTTTCTGTTGACAAGACTTCTCCAGAAGAAGTAGGATCCCTATGCTTTTTCTTTTTCTTGTTTTTTGATCCCATGGACCTGCCACGTTTTTTAGATTGGCTGGTTTCTATTTCATTTCCTGTCTTGGTTTTGTCTGTTTTTTCCATTTATTTAAAATAATTTTCCACTTCCTCGATATTTGAACTTTGTTTCATTTCACTATCGTATTCAAATCCGATTGCCTCACATTTTCTATATAATCACACAACTTTCGTCAATAGTGTCGCTTATGTGCACAGTAGAGGTATATGCTGGAAGTTTGCCACACCACACCTTTTAAACCACCACAACTTTTAAATCCTGCTCATAGATTTTCAGATGAATTGGCATTTCCATTTTGCAGTTTTTTTTAATTAACTTGCTCTGCAGGTTTGACGATAATCATAAAGTACTTTTCTGCATGCCGATTCGACTGCCGATAAAGCCTATATCAAGGGGTTAAAGCTGTGTCAACTGTCAAGTTAGTGATCAAACAAATAAATGAAATGTTATTTTCGGCACATAAGCTCAGTGCATTAGGAGATATGTGCGCACTTAAATTATCACACGTTAACATTTTTTTACCCTTATCTTTTTTCACAAATGGATTGAATTGGTTTTTATTGGTTAACCAATCTTCAAAAATTATTGTCTCCAACCATCCTGATATAGAGATTGCCATTCTGGAACCCTCAGGTGCTTGATATAGCCAATCAGACCAAAGTTTTACCACTTCGAAAATAAAAAATGGTGTTACGACCTCACCTGTTGCATTCCTACGGAAGACTGTGGTAAAATACGATTTAGAGCTGTTTTTTATTACTTCAGGGTTCTTGCAATGTCTACGAACTAGCAATTTCTTTTTTCCCGTGATCGTCATCAGTCAAATCCTGACTCGCCCATATTATACAAATTTTGTGGAGCGACGCCTTCACTCCCCTTGAAAAAATTATTAAAAAAATGTTCAACTTGCTCACGATTGATTTGAGCTCTTTTTCTTGGGATATTATGAAATAGTTTCTCCTTCAGTAAAGGGTGTCTTTCTAAAAATAATTTTCCCAATTCATAACCAGGCATATTGTCTCTGAATTGCGGCACAATCTTGTTGCTTTTATTTAGGTGATCTCTAACAATAATCCTGAAATCTAACATATTTAATGATAAACCCACATCACTCTACAATAAAATGATTTTGAAAGCACTCTTCCTCTTCTGCGGTAAATGTAACAGGTCTTCCAATATTTTTGGTATGTTCCTTATGTAATTTATAATATAACATACATAACATAAACACTCACGCCTGTCACCCAGAGGGGTAGGCAGAGACTACAGACTTCCATTTGGCACGATCCTGACACACCTCTCTCGCCTCCTTCACATCCATACACCTCCGCATACATGCTCGTCGGTTAAGGGTACTCCTAATTTGGCCCGTTTTCAATAAATCGCCAATTTGGTCGATAAATTTTCGCCTAGGACGTCCCTTTCCGACTCTGCCATTCACTTCTGCAACATAAATTTTCTTTGTCACTCTTTCCTCATTCATTCTTTCCACATGACCAAACCACCGAAGCATTCCTTTCTTAATCCTGGTCACAACATCATCTTGCAAACCACACTCTTCTCTTATTACACAATTTCTTACCCTGTCATTAAGATTCAGCCCTAACATACTCCTTAACGACCGCATTTCTACTGCGTTCATTCTACTCTCGTGCTTCTTCTGCCACACCCAACTTTCACTACCATATGTTAAAGTAGGGACCAACACAGCATTGTGAATTGCCATACGTGCCTTTTTCGACACATTTTGACTCTTCACAATAGAGTGCAGGGCCCCATTTACTCTATTTCCCGCATTCACTCGTCGTTCTATATCCTTATCATATCTCCCATCCCTGCTAAATACGCAGCCCAAATATACAAACTCGTCTACTTGCTCGATCAACTCCCCTTCTATTCTTATTTCACAAATCGTTTTACTTTCTTCTCTTTCAAAAACCATAACCTTCGTCTTACTTGCGTTCACTTTCATACCCCTTTCTTTTAATGATCTGTTCATTAATGTAACCATCATTTGCAACTCGGCCGCCGACGACGCAAGTATAACTTGATCATCGGCGTACAAAAGGCATTTGACGGTTAACTCACCCATTCTTAATCCGCATTCTTCAACTTTCTTTTTTTAAAATTTATAATATAATGTTATATTATAATGTTTCGAAACATCCATCCTAGACATGGCATCTGATCGAATTTTACTAAATGCCTCTTCCAAATTTTCTGGAGTATAATTGCTTTTAGTTCCATATTTTCTACAACCAGGCTTAATTAAAAAAAAAGTTTTTACAGCATTGTACCTTTAAATAAAAAACACTTATGTTCATACATAACTTTTTTAACATTTGGTAGCAACACATTCAAAGGTTCAAGAATGGTTCAAAGTTACCCAAAAATGTATTTATTTCTGTATCAAATATATGAGTAAAAGGGTTAGTAAATTATATGTTAATTGACAAAATGATGTTAAAACTGATCCAGTAATGTTAAACACAAAACTTATCCTCTTTAGTTATGATATCTTTAAAAAAATGTTTTTGACTACTAAAAATGGTTGGTCATGAACAAGCAGACTCACCTAAGGCTGTAGCCAAAACATTTTTTGGGTTTTATACATTTTTATAGTCACGGTACGAAAATCACGACAGTACCATTTACTTTAAACAAATTACCCACAGATTATCACAAAAAAAGAATTTTCTATATTAAATAATTCAAAATAAGTGTTCCTTTCCAAACTTTTAAGAGAAATATCCAGGCCAGTTTACACGCTGTACGTAAAACTAACGAGTAAAAAGAGTATCAAACTTCTGTCCTCCAGATCGAATTTCGGTCACGGCGGCCAGTTTCAACGGCAACTAGGTGGCTAGTAGCGCAGAACAGGGTTAGTTACAGTACAGTATACGAGTGTAAACACAAGCACAGATTTACTACCTGTTCCCTCTCTCTCATAGTCCGATGGAATGACAATTGGACACAACTGGAGAGAGATAATGCGCATCATCGAACTCATACGTATAGTTAATATAAAAAACAAACAAGTGTCTCTTGCACTGTATCTAGGCTAACTTCTGATTTTATTATGTTAGTGCTATATTGCACATGGCAGATTACGAGTTAGTGTCTTTGTTTTTGCAGGTATACTTTTTCTTAACATATGTCCACCTGATGATAAGTGTGGGTTGTGGCCCATACTCGTCACCTAAATCTATTATCGATTAAGAATCAAAATGCAGAATGCTTTACCAGCCTCGAGAACTAAGATGGAATGCCATGTTGCATGTTGATGGAAATGGTGCACTTTTCTTTTCAGATGCCCCTGGAGGAACTGGGAAGACATTTTTGTTAAATTTATTATTAGTGCAAGTACAGAATGATAAAAACATTGCTGTGGCCGTAGCTTCCTCCGGTATAGCCGCCACGCTGCTAAGCGGGGACCGCACTGCACATTCTGTTTTAAAACTCCCTCTAAATCTAGCCCAGGAAGAATCTCCGATCTGCAACTTTAGCAAAAATAGTGCACGAGGTATAATGCTACGACAGTGCAAACTTTTAGTGTGGGGCGAAAATACAATGTCGCATAAAAAGCTGTAGAAGCACTAAATCGAACGCTTCAGGATTTGCGCAGCAATACCGATGTAATGGGAGGAATGGCGGTTTTACTGGCTGGTGACTTTCACCAAACTTTACCTGTCATTCAAAAGGGCACACCTGCAGATGAAATTAAAGCATGCCTCAAGTCGTCTATTTTATGGAACAAGGTGACAAAATTGACGAAATATTTTTGTAATTTAGTACAGAGTCATTCCGAATTAATTGCGAGCGTTTATACAGATTTAACGAACAAAATGCATGAATACAAATGGTTATGTGAAAGGGCAATTCTTGCACCAAAAAATGAGAGTGTTAACAAAATAAATTCAGATATATTAAGCGAAGTAGCAGGAGAAATAGCAGAGTATTTGTCAGTAGACACAGTTATGGACACAGAACAGAGCACTTCATATCCCGCAGAGTTTCTAAATTTTCTAGTTGTCAGGTGTGCCCTCACATAAGCTTCAATTAAAATTAGGCGTCCCAGTCATGCTAATGCCAAATTTAGATGCTCCTCGGTTATGTAACGGAACAAGGCTGCGTGTGACACATCTTGGACGGAACATAATCGGTGCTACAATTTTGACAGACGTAGGAAAAGGTGAAAATGTTATTTATACCACGGATCCCTATAATTCCCACAGATCTTCCTTTTCAATTCAAAAGGTTGCGGTTCCCTATTAAGCTCAGTTTTGCAATGACAATTAATAAAGAGCAAGGGCAAACGTTACAGGTAGCGGGGGTCAACTTAGAAAAACCGTGCTTCTCTCATGGTCAGCTGTATGTAGCATGTTCGCGTGTGTCAAATGCCCAGAATCTCCACATTCTTTCCCCGACTGGAAAAACATATAACATTGTGTACAGTAGCATCTTAAAATAGTGTTCAGTTTTTTTTTCCAAAATTCCCACAATCAATTAAATAGAACTCCCACAGATCTTCCCTTTCAATTCAAAATTTCCTATTTAGCTCAGTTTCTTTTCAATTCCAAATGCTGCACCTCTGACGGACCTATTAAGCTCAGTTTCCTTTCAACTCAAAAGGGTGCATCTCTGACGGATCTTTTAATTGGCTCAGTTTCCTCTCAATTCAGAAAACTGCATCTCTGACGAATTAATTTAGCTCAGTTTCTTTTCAAAAGTCTGCATCCCTGACGGTAATTATGCTGTTTCCTTTAATTAAAAAAATATCCCATTTCCATTTGGAATAAACAGGCTTTTTTCATGCTTTCCTATATGCTGCGTTTCAAAACATTTAAATAGGCTAACGAATCAATTTTGCTCAGCTTCCTTTTAATGGCTGCATCTCTGACAAATCTATAAAACTCAGTTTTCTTTCAATTCAAAAAGCAATGGATAGTTCATTTCCCAATGACCATGTGGGCGAAGCCGCGGGTAGCAGCTAGTGTTATCAATAAACCTTGTTGCAGACAGACCTTGTTTTTTTAGATGTGCTAAAATACAAATTGAAATTTAC